CGGCTCCAGGCTCAGGCACTTGGTGGGGAGGTCGTACTGCAGCGGGGGCTTGTGTCGGAGCTGGGGGTTGAGGCTGCTGGGCACTGCAGAGGAGGGCTCAGGGGGCAGGGGGGCTGGAGGCACCTCGGGGCCCAGGAAGGCGCTGTGCAGGCTGAGCTGGGAGGCACTGCCAGGCTGTGGGAGACACCAGAGGGTCAGGAAGGGTGGCTGGGGCACCGGCCGCCACCAGCTGTGGGCTGGGATTCTGCTCACCTGGAGGAGGGTGCCAGGGGAGAGTGGGGCCTCAGGGCTTGCAGGCAGCCCCCGAGTACCCATCAGGGACCCCCCGGTGTCAAACAGGGGCTCAGCCATGGGCAAGAAGCAGGACGGCTCCTGGTAGCCCAGCTGTGTCTGCGATGGGGGTGTTCGGTGGCTGAAGAAGAGATCTGCAGGGCCAAGTGGAGACACAGTGACTGGCATGAGGGGACCTGCCCAGAGATGGGGAACAAGCACTGGGGCACATAGGGTGGAGCTGTATCCTGTTACTGGCACTGCTGGGGACTTGCCAATCCTCCCTTCACCTTGTGCAGCCGGGGCAGTTCCAACAGATTTGTCACCCAGGGCCAGCCTTGCCACATGCATGGGGACAGGAAAACCTACCCAGAGTGCCACCCAAGGGTGGGTATCCCATTCCTGGTACCCAGCTGGGCTCCTTGTTCTCCAGCCCCCAGCTGCTCCCAGGGGTGTGTGTGTGGGGCTGTATCAGGGGATGGGGCAGGGACCACAATACCCAGGCTGGGGGCACTGCAGGGGAGGATCCAGATGAACATTCCCAAGCCACAGGGGAACGTGGACAGTCCCCTGGAGTGGTGGTGAGTGCTGTCCTCCCCACCCCAGCGCTGCCGTGCGTGCAGCCTGTGGGTAACCACATCCCATGGCCTTCCCGAAGCCGAGCCGCGTGACCCTGCCGCGACTCCCGCTCCCTTCCTGTCTCCTTCCCACAGCCCTGCTCCTTCCGCAGGCCCAGACGCCGCGGCACGGAGGGCTGGCCCGACACTTTGGGCAGCCACCACCTCCCTGGGCACATCAGCCCCATGCCCACCTCGGCTCAGCGCCTGTGCCAGCGCTCGCTCCGGCACTGCCACCGGGAGAGGGGGCAGAGGATGACTCTGGGACTGGGATGGGGCTGCTGGATGATTCCCTGTAGGACAGAGCAGGAGGGCTCGCTGGGTTTGCTGCCTGCCAGCCCCTGGCACAGGCCCTGTGCTGGAGCAGCCACCCTGGGACAGGCACTCGCATCTCCTCTGGGGAGCACCTGGCCATGCTCCCCAGCACTCATCTGGCACTGGTGGTGCCACCTCCAGGCCCTGCTGCCGGCTCTGCCTGCCCGGTGTGTGCAGCCATGCCCAGGGCACCGGCCATAGTCCAGGCTCCAGCACCCAGGGTGCCCTGACCAGGACACACAAAAGCCTGAAACACACCAGAGGAGCAAACACGCCAGCGCCGTGGGATGCCACAGGACTGGGCATGATGATGATTCCAGCATGCCATGTGCTGCCATCTGAGGGAAACAGCAGCATAAGATGGGGCAGAGCTGCTGCTGAGCTGCCCCAGCCAGCCCCTAGACTGCCCCTTCCCTCTGCCAAGGCAGTGGTGAGTCCCTGGGAGCACGGCAGAGCCACTCCTGCCCCTCCATGGGCTGGCACTCAGTGAGTGCCATGATGCTGCCAGGCAGTGTCTCACCATTCCTGGGATGCAGCCCAGCCCCACTCTACCCCCACCTCCACTTAGCCCACACTGGGCTGCCTCTGCCACTGGTACCAAAGCTCCGTGGGTATTTATAGGCATTTCTGGTGCCCAGCTTGTCAGATTTGTGCCTCTTGTGCTTCTTGCTGTGCTACAGGGATGGCGGCCCCTGGGAGCTCTGTCCTCCCTTTCTTCTGCCCCTTCCCCATCCCACAGCTCCTGCCCATGCTCCTCCTCACTGTCACATCACCCTGCCCTTCTCCAGGTAGTGCAGCACGGCCAGGGCACGGTGCTGCTCGAGGGAGAAGAGCCCATGTGGTCAGCACACCACGCCTTTGGCATCCCGCTCGAACCTGAGGCTGCTCTCCGCTGGGATTGGGGCTGCAGAGCCCCTTCCCAACCTAAGGACCCTCCAGCACCGGCCCCGGGCTCTGGGAGAGCCCTGCAGAGCAGCAGAGCAGTGCCACCCCATGGGGACAGCCAGCCCAACCCCCAGAGCCCCCGTGCCCAGCGCGGGTCCTACCTGGAGCGCGGTGCCAGCAGGGCGCGGGGCCGGGCTGCTCCCTCGCCTCTGCCATCGGGACTTCTCCATCCGCCCCGCACCGCGCTCCGGACCCGCCGTGGACACAGATGCTTCCTCATTTGGGGATTGGCTCGCAGGCGCTGACTGGCAGGCGCTGAGCTCTGCCAGGGACACCCGGCACGGTGACAGCCCTGTGACCCCGCGGTGCCCACCCCGCACAGCTCTGCGGGAGGGATCCATGGAAAACTCTGCTGGAAAAGTGGCCTCTGGGACATAATGGGGTTGGTGGCAGCCAGCACCCACCGTTCACCCCCATCTCCTCTCCCCACTGCCCCATGGGGGACATGGCACACACACAGTCCTCGGCTGCAACCCCTCATCATCCAGGGAGCTGCCCCACACGGTGTCCCAGGAAATGTTCCATGTCTAGGACAGAACACCTACCCATGAGTCTCCAAGCACCCCATGGAATGCTGCCCCCAGCAGTCCAGGAGCCACAGCTGGGACCCTGTCCCTGATCCCAGCAGGACGTGGGACCCTCCCCATCCTCAGCAGTGTCCCCATTCTGAGATGCTGGGCACAGGCAGAGCAGGGAAGGACACTGCCCTGTGATTTAGGGGCCTGCAAGTAAGACCCATCCTCTTCCCAGACAGCACCCTGGAGCAAAATGCAGGCCTTTTCCCAGGAAAAAAGCCAACCTGGCTGATACGTTGGTTTAGCTGAGCACTGCTGCGCTCCTGCCATCTGCTTGAGCATGAGGCCATGCTGGGCCCTCAGAGAGGTGCTGGGGCTGTTGCTGTGACACCATGCAGGACCTCCTGGAGGGGGAGGAACACTTCTCAAGGGTCAATTTGACCCCCTTGGAGCCATCCATTGACTGATGTCCATGTGGGGCACCAGGGGACAGGGGGCAAAGGGTCAGCCATGGAGACAGACCCTCTTCCCTGTGTGGTCCACCCTGATGGGACCTCTGGAGAGAACGAGCTGAGGAGGTGCTGGCAGGAGCCTTCCCTCTTCATCCATCCCCAGGGCATCCCACTGCCTGCCCTGTCACACAGAGTGCCCATCCTGCTCCCTTCCAGCATCTGGTCTTGCATCACCCCTCAGCTGTGTGGCGCAAGGGCCCTTGTTTCCTCCTACTGAAGGAAGTGAAGATGGGCCCTGGAGCTCCAGGCTCACATGGGAGCCCAAGGCCACCAGCTACCTGGGAGGGCTTGCAGCCACCAACCCCCCCAGCGTGCCCAGCTCTGGCACATTCGAGGGCAAAGCTGGTCCGCAGGGGTGCCCTGCCCTGGTGTTTGAGGACACTGCTGAGTCCAGGACGTGTCCCAGCTGATCCCATGGCACACAGGGACACTCACGGCTCAGAGCCTGCATGGCAGTGTGGGGGAGGCTGCTATTGCCCCCTTCCTAGTGTTCCCCCCCCACAGCCCCCTGCCCCAGCTGGACACCAGTGCCAGGTTTGTCTCTGGGCAGCCTGGCAGGTACAGTGTCTTGTCCCCAGGGGATGTAGCACAGCCCAGTGCAGGGTCCCAGCCCCCATCCCTGGGGCTGGCTGGGCAGTGAGGTGAGGAGGGGACACAGAACCCAATTGTCCTTCCTCTGTCTGCAGCCAAAACGAGGGGCTTTGGCACTCCTAGAAAGATCCTCTGCTTGTAGAAATCCCCTCCCACAGCTCCTGGCCTGAATTTTCCCAACTCCCTGTGGCTCTGTCCAGGTGCAGGCAAGCACACCAATCCCCTGTCCATGGCCCCTGCCCATCCATGCTGCTTTTCCCATGGCACTGGGTGTCTGGTGCTTCTGCCTGCCCCAACACCTTCCTCTGTAGCCTGGCCAACCCTCTGAGCCCCCATTTTGTGCTGCCACAGGGTGCAGGGCTGTGTGGGATGTGGTACCACATGCAGGCTGGCTCTTACCTGAGATATCCATGTCATCCAGGCTGGGCTGCAGGGGTGCCAAATCCGGCTGTATCATGTCAGCATTCCCAACATACACTGGAAGAGGGCAGAGCTGGAACATCAGGGCCTGGCCACTGCACCCCTAAGACCCCCCTTCAGGGCTGCTCCCACCACTATCTGCCACCCCTCTGCGTCACCCCAGTTACCCTGTGTCACTGGCCCCTTCCCTGGGCAGGGAGGTGGGTGCCCACCCTGTAGGAGAGACAGGACCATCCCATCCCACCACCCTGCTCCTCCTCCACATTCTGCTGGAGCACAGTCTGGGGCACCTACCATCCTCGGGGAGTGCCTGGTGGGTGCTGGGCATCTGTGTCATGGTGAAGAGGGTGTCAGATATGTCTGAGAGGAAGGTGTCCAAGTCAAAGTGCTGCCTGCTCCCGGGCTCCTCTTCCTCATCCCCGAGCAGCATTGGCACCACGTTGCAGAAGAGCTGGTTGCACCATTTCTCTGTTGGCCTCCAGACATCCTCGTCCTGAGTGAGATGGAGCAGAGGAGCCAGCTGGGCACCTCTTGTGGGGAGGGTCCGTGCCTGGCTCCGTGGCTGCTCTCCTTGGCATCCCCCATGCTTCCCACAGTGTTATCACTCTGGCACTCTGCTGCTTCCAGAAAGGTGAATCCAGCATCTCAAGTGCTTGGCATGCCATCCCATGGGGCTTTCCTCTGCCCTTCTCCCAGGCTGCCCGGTGCAGGGGTCTGCACTGTGCCCCTCTTTTCCCTCTCCCCACCCTTTCCCAGCAGACTCACCTGCTTTGGACTGGAGATCTCGCCCTCCCGCGTGGACTTTCGGAGCTGAAGGAGAAGACAGTTTGTGTCACCCCCCAGGCAGGGTGGGTATGGTGTGGGGTAGGGTGAGGGTGGAAGCTCAAGAGGGGCAGCCAGCAGCTCCCTCCCACACCGGCAAGAGCCTGTTACATCCCTCCCTGCCAGCCACAGCTGCAGAGTGGGCACACTGGTGTTCCACCCCACCAGTGGCACTGCCTCAGGATGGGGAGCAGCACGGGCAGAGCCACTCACCCTCTTCTTGTAGTAGATCCTCCACTTGTGGTACTCCCTCATCACCACCTCGATGCGGCGTTTCCAGTACTTGCCCTCCAGCACAACAGCCTGGGGGGGGGGCAGGACAGGGCCTGTCTGAGCCCCCCAGCTCCAACATCCCACAGCCAGGGCTGTTTGTCCCGTGCCATGTCAGAAACACCTTTCCCAGCAGATGGGTCCCCAGCTCCCCACTGTGCCACCCAGACCTGCGAGGGACCCTGCCCTACCTCCGGTTTTCGGTGCTCATCAGCCTCCAACCCCTCCAGAGGGGTGATGAAGCCACACACAGGGTTCTTCCTCCGCTCCACATCTGCACAGGGTAGAGCACAGCTGGCTTTATCCGTGCACCTCTGCATGGCCAGCTCCATCCCCCCCTGGGCACAGCCTGGCTCCTGGCAGAGGGAGCAGGGTCTGGCCCATACTCACACTGGATGTACCACGCTCTCCAGATCGCGTTGTTGAGACGGATTTTATCCCGGCAAAGCAGCCTCAGCCCCTTGAAATTCTTCCACTTGGGTGACACCAGCTTCCCACTGAAACACCAAGCAAAGGGGGGGCTGAGGGGCACCATCCCACAGTCCTTTCTGTTTGGGGTCTCCCTGGGGGGTTGTGCCTCAAGACATGCCTGGGGGAACATGCTTAGGGGTCACCAGCCTGGTGTCAGGTCAGGAGCAGGCACAGCAGTGTGGCTCTGCTACAGGAGGCTTGTCAGGCACCTCTGGGAGCACCGACAGGGGCATTCCCAACTCCTGTGCACCCCGAGACCAGCACAGGCCTAATCCCTGAGCTTCACAGACCCACAGGAGGCTTCTCAAACCCCCAGGATTAAAGCACAGCACACAGAGGAACTGACTCCTTGAGGTTGGAACCCCAGCTCTGAGGAGGGATCCCACTGTTCCTGGCCAGGCCAGCTGTGTCCCAGCCCTAAGGGACAGGAAGGGAAGTCTCCCGCCCAGGCGAGACGCCCGGGGACATGTGCTGTGGTGGCTCTTGCCTCATCATAGCATTTGGGCAGCTATTTCTGACCCTCCTTTTCATGCCAGGAAAGACTTGGAAATGCTGCTCTCAGCTGGGGCAGGCAGGGGCAGCCATGCTGGGGGATCTGGGAAGGCAGGACAGCGCTGGAGGATGTTCAGGACGTTAAGGGACAATTGCCTGTGCCCCAAGACAGACAGAGAGCAAGACCAGCCCTGCCTTCAGCCAGAGCTGCCCTGAGCTCTTCTACACACCCAACCCTGCAAACCTGTGCCCCCCAGCCCCAGCTGGGCTCCCTGCTTCCCATTTCCATGTTCCCAGAGGCAGCTGTGTTTGTTCTACAGCTCGTTGTGGGTGGTGGGGATGTCTCTGATGGGACCTGCATTGGGGGAAGCCTCATTTCACTCATTGTCTTGTTTCCATCCAGCCAAGGGACACAACCCCTGGTGTGCCCCCCCTGGGGAGGTCCTGGGGGTCCTGCTGCCCCAGGGGTCCCTCTGCCTCACTTAGGGGTCACCTCTCCCAGCTCTCCCACCCATCAGGGCATGGCCCCGGTGCAATGCCAGCTGCTCCAGGGGTCCCTCTGAGAAGTGGCTGCAGCCTGCATGGCATCCCTCCCCAGCCAAGAGTCTGTCCCCTAAAGGTCTCAGTGTTGCTCTGAGTTCCGCTTTTCCTTGGCTCATGCAGGAAGCAGGAAAGGTGGAGGCTGGGGTGCTGTATCCCCTGTTCCCAGCCTCTCCTTGGGTGCATCCAGTTGCCTCCAGGCTGTGTCCCCAGGGAGGCGCTGGGGATGAGAATGGTGTAAGAAGCCTCTGTGCTTGTTCATTCGAGCTTGTGAAACCTCCAGGAATTCTCTAACTATGACTTTGGTGGGTTCTGCTTTGACTTGTCTTGAAATCTGCCTCCTGCAGAGGAGGAGGACCGGGGACCCCTCCAGAGCCTGATGCAGGGATGTGTCTGGGACTGGGTGCTCCCACCCACTGGGGGGGATGGGGAGAGTTTCCCAAGGGAGATACAGCCCAACCCATGGCCCCAGGGGCTGGCTCCAGCCTGCAGAGAGTTAAGGACTTGGCTACACGCTGGCCACTCCACTATCACTAGGATTTTGAACTTTCCCCAGCGGCACCAAAGCAAACAGCACGGTGCTGCCAAGTGGAGGAGCCAATGGAAAGGACGGGTTTCCAGGGCACGTGGCCAAATCCTGCTGGTCAAGGCCAGGCTTCTCACCCACAGACAGTTGAAAGGAGCAGCCCAAGGCCTTGGGGTGCAATCAGACACCTTGCTCACGCGTAGGGCCTGTGGGGCCGCGGCCACGGAGCTGCCATGGGGTCTGGAGGCAGAGGCGTGATGCCTTTGGGCTTTGCTGCCAGCTGCCTTTTTTCCCCCCCTCAATGTTCCCTTCATTTTTGGGGCTTATCAGGCTGACCTTTGCTCCCTGCTTTGCCTTGTATAGGGCCCTACCCTTTCCTGACGTTATCTCCCCAGGGAGATGGATGCAAACCCCACAGGTTTTAAACAGGTTGAGGGGCTTGCTGCCCCACACTGTCAGAGGGACTGGGAAACAGATCTCACCCTGGGCTACAGGGTATTTGTGGGATGGGGTGAGGTGGGAGCAGGGCTCAGCCTGGGTCCAACCCCGGTGTGGGTCCACAGCACCTTGTTTGCTCCGTGGCTTATTTACTCACTTTCAGATGTTGGAGTCTCTGATTCTGTGGCAAAATTGGTTTTCTCCCCATCAGCAGCAAAAGAAACAGGGGCTGCACAAAGATAAATGAGTGGCAGCAGGAGGGGAAGAGCTGAGCTGAGGGTCCCCTGGCAGGGACAAGCCTGCTCATCCCTTCCAAGGAGCAGGATTCCTGTGGGGCTATCAGAGCCCCCCTCGATCCCTGGGCTGTGGGACACCGCTGGTCCTGGGGCTGGCAGAAAGGAGGACGGTGTTCCCTGCACGCTCATCTTCCATTTCTCACAAATTTTACTACCATGGTCATGTATTTTCTGGAATTTTGATGTTCTAAAATCCAGAGTCTGGCAAAGAAAGTTAAAAATCTGACCACGGTTTCCCTGGGAAGTGCCCCCTAAGGGAAAAATGGCTGTGTTCAAATTCACCTTCCACTACCTAAACAAGCTGTTTCCTTCACTGTGGATGAAGCAGCTGCTGTGCCAGCTGTGGTGGGACTGAACTCAGCCCAGGGGGGGATCCAGGGATGGTGTTGAACAAAGGTGTTGATAGAATGTGCTGGGATGATGTCAGGACCTGCTCTGTGCGTGCTCCAAGCACAGATGGAACAGACATTTTCCTGTCCCAGATGAGAAGGGAAGGCATTGAAAAACTCGTGCAAAAAGTCACCTGAGAGCTGGAGAGTTACAAGCCAAGCTACACCTCCACAGCCAGTTATTTTGGTGGTGTCTGGAGGTATGACCCCCCAGTGCATCAGTGTGGGAACTGCAGCACACCAGCCCAGCCCCTCCACACCATCCCTGGACAAGATCAGCCCCAAAACCCCTGGGAATGACAGAGAAAAGGCTCACAGCTCCCTGACACTAATGACAGCACAAGCACAGTGCAGTGTGGGTGGGTTTAGCTCGAGCAGGAGAGACTTTGCCCCTGGAAGGGGGGGTGGGTCTTCTGCCAGAAGGAAATGAGGAGAGGAAAGCTCAGACTGTGCATCCCTGGGGTCTCTATCTGGTGCTCGCTGCCCCTGTGGGAGTGTTTAAGGCACTGTGAACTAGAAAATCAATCAGAGAGTGTGTTGAAGCCAGAGCAGCAATTCCCCCTCCGCCAGGGGAGACACAGAGCCTGCCAGGAGGATGAATTAGCAGGGAACTGGCACACAAGCTGCCTTGTTTTGAATCTCAAGAGGGGCAGAGTGGATACTCCAGGTCAGTTCCCAGTCTAATGTCCCTACCTGCCGAATCTCTCCCTCGTTACTTACGGGGAGAAGAGGAGGTTCATCCACACCACACTCTGGGAACAGCTCCAGGGAGCTGAGGCAGATGTGTGCCAGGTAAGACCACGAGAGGCTGCAGTTTGCAGCTCCCAGCCTGCCCCCCAGTTTTTCTCCTTTCAGGAGGATGTTCCCCAGGTCAGTGATTCCTGGGAATGTGTCATGGGAAGGGTTGTAAGCCCAGATGGTTCAGTTCCACACTCAGCCTTTTGGGGAAGGAGGGGCAGCCAGGTGAGCTGCAGGGAGAAACATCACCCACTGGAGAAAAAACTATCTAAGGAAGGGATTCCAGAAATGAAGGCTGTTGCAGGAGAAGGAGTAGGAGAGAATCATTAAGCCTTTCTCAGGAGAGCTGCTATAAGTGTCCTGGAATATGGGTAAAAAGGAACTGTTTCATCCCAGCCTCCAGCACCATGAGGAAGACTCTGGAGCAGGGATTGCCTCTCTTTGAGGGATCTGAGGGAACAAGTTACTGCTGGAAGCAAACCTTGATGTGGAGAGAGTGCTTCTTTCCCAGCAAGGAGGTGATGCACTGTCCTGCCCAGGAGGGGAAAATAAGTCAAATTCCCTGTGGTGATTGCTCAGGCTGAGACAGGACTACCATAATATCTGTGAAATGCCCAGGAGGAATGCTGGAGAGGGCAGGAATTACAGCTATAGTCATTGAAAAATGTTCAGGGAAAGTTTAGTGAGTGGCCCTTGAAAGGGCTGCAGATAGCAAGGGATGTGAGGCTGCAGCAGTCACAGCTCATCAGGAGTGGGACAGTTCCCCTCTGCTCCACACTGTGATGGCCAAGGCTGGATACTGTGCCCAGACTGATTTCCTGGTCCTAGAGGGAGGTTCACAAACCAGAGGGATCCCAGAGGAGGGTGTTCAGATGGTTGGGGATTAAGGCACATGGCAGAAGAGGAGGGAGAGGGATGGGTTTGTTCATCCTGAAGAAGGTGATGAGAGAATCTACTTACTGCCACCAGGTACACTAGTCGGAACAGGGCAACTCCAGCTAAGGCCATGGACAGCACTCCTCCCTGTGAGAGCGGGGCAGCCCTGGGGAGGCTGGAACAGGGTGGGCTCACATCTGTCAGTAATGGCCCTGAACAACCTGACCTGGCTTTGGACCCAGCCCTGCCCTGCAAAGGAGTTGGGTGATGAATTCCAAAGGGACCTCCCAGCTGACACCTTTCTGTGGTGGTTCCTCCTTGGTTAGGGAGTTAGTTTGCAATAAACTGTGGCTGCTCTCCTGAGGATTGGAGGACCTTGGGCTGGTGACTCCAACTGTGATGAACCAACCCCTGTCTGGGGAACCTGCCTGGGATGGAAGGTGTGAAATGGCAGGAGATGCAGAGAAGTATCAAATCAGATGAGACCAAATGTAGAGGTGCACCAAGGACCTTTGAACTGCATTTTCCCACTCTGGTACCTTTCTCCAGCTGCTGCCTACAGGGGTGTCAAAATGTATTAGCAAGGAAAAGGCTGAGACAGCTGGGGGTGTCCACCCAGGAGATGAGAAGGCTCCAGGGAGGCCTCAGAGCCCCTTCCAGTGAATAAAGGGGTTCCAGATGAGCTGGAGAGGGACTTTGGCAGTAACCACGTATTCCATCACACGGAGCACTCAAGGACCTCAAGGCAAACCTGAGACCTCAGGCCCTGGATGAGACCCTGAATGAGGAGGAAGGCAATGGGCACCTCTTCAAGGCTACGTTGCTGAGCTTTTGCTTTCATGCAGCATCAGCAGCACATTGTTATTCCAGGTTTCCACCTGGGATATTGTAATTCCAGGTTTCCTTCCTTTGGGAAGGCTATGTAGTTTTGTGCTGACTTGAACAAGTCCCACTGATGCTCTCCTGGAGAGAAGTCACAACCTGGGGGCTTGTCAAAGGTGGGATCTGCCTTCAAGAGTGTGGACCAAGATACCAAGAGACATGTTGCAGTCTGTCCTGTTGTCACTAAGGAGCTGCCCAGCAGGGCTTGGGTGATTTGTGTGGCAGGGGAATGATGCAGTCACCCATCGAATTTAGCAGGAAAGAAGGAGAGAAGCTTTTTGGAGACCCTGGACAAAAGCCCGTGCAGCCATCCAGCCCTGAGTGCTGCTGCTCCTGCTTGTCATGGAATAATCTCAGGACATGCGGACAGAGTCAAGGACAGAAGGCAGGACTCCTGCTCTGGGCTGGATTGCCAAAGACTGAGTGCTGGCTGCCCACGGGGTCACTGCTGCTCTGTGGGGTGCACAGGGTCTGGCCACGAGGGTGCCTCAGCTGAGCACAGCGACACCGGATCTCATGGGGAAGCGGAGCAGAGCCAAGCTACACGTGAAAAGAGGAGGAACTTCTCACCTGGCTCCATGGCCAACAACCCAGCACCAGCTCTTTCTCCCCAGAACCTTCCAGGATGGTATTTTCTGAGCACATGGCACTTACAGCCCATGGAGAAGAGGAGGACGATGTCAGCTGGCAACAAGGCCCTGGCTGTGCAGCAGGGATCAACCCCTCGTGCCTTCAGAGAGCTGGGGGCCCATGACACACCTGCCAGAGTGAGGGCTCTGGGACTCACCTGTACTCCAGGCTCATGCACTCGAAGAGCCGTGTGAGGGTCGGGTCGATGCTCCGGGGGTCGGCGCGGTGGTGCCACCGCCGGGGCAGCGCGTCGCTGTGCGGGGACGACACCATGAAGTGGCCGCTGTGGATGACCTGGGAGGGGTTCTGTGCCCCGGCACCGGGTCCTGTGCCACCCACAACCGCATCCTCGGAGTCAGAGTCGGAGTCAGAGACAGGGCAGGCTCCCGGGAGCCCCACCTGAGCTCCTGCCATCGCCTGGGGCCTGCTGGGGAGCCCTTATGGACCTGTCCCAGTGCTGTGATCCATGTCCTGGGCGTGCCAGAGCCTACGGACACTGTGTTGGCATCGAGCTGGTGCCGCTGGACTCCCCTCAGCACAGGACACCTTCACCGCAGCTCCTCCCGGGCGCCTCCTCCACGCTGCCCGCGCTGTCCGCTCCACGCGCCGGGGTTCAGTGGTTGGTTTTGCCCGGCGGTTTCAACGACTGGTTCGCCAGGGTTCAGCAGGTGCTTTGCCGAGGTTCAGCGGTTGGTTTGCCGGGGTGGTTCGTCACCAGCCCTACTTATAGTGCCGGTGGCTGGTCCCGCCCATGGCACACCGACATCAGGTCATGGCACTCTGCCACGGGCGCTTCAGCTCCACGCCACCCTCCTGTCCCTGACGACCCCGGCTTTTCTGTCCCCCCCCCTAAGGTGGGGAGGAGCAGCTGCGGGTCCTCTGTGCCCCGAGGGTTGGCTGGCAGGCGGCTCTGTTTACCCGGGGTTAATCGCTGATCCCGGGGGCCGGCGGAGAGGGGAGAGGGCGGTGTTTACCCAGCGCCTCTTCCCTAATGGATCTCCCTGCACTTCCAAGGGAACAAATACAGATTAAGGGACGCAAACAGGTAAAAATTACAGCAACGGGCACCCAGCTCAGCACAAAGCACGCCGAGGCACTGAGCCATGTGCTGAGCTGAGAAAAGAGCCCGGGGGAAACCTGCTCCGAGGGGGGACGGAGCAGGAGAGGGGATGCAAATACCCAGTGCAAGAGAGGACAGCAATGATGAGCCCGGGCGTGGCGGGATTTACACAACTCGTGGTCATGCAGTCTTTAAAATCATAGAATCAACAAATCCTAGAATGGTTTTGATGAGAAGGAACCTTAAAACTCTACTCATTCCAATCCTCCTGCCATGGGCAGGGACACCTTCCACTAGCCCGGGTTGCTCCAAGCCCCATCCAACCTGGCCTTGGACACTTCCAGGGATGGGGCAGCCACAGCTTCTCTGGGCAACAAGCATCTCCTCTCTGACCCAAGCCACAGAGGGACACAGTGGATATAATTTCTGGCTTAAATCCTTATTTTCTCTCCAGTTTCTGGCAACTTCTTCTTCAGCTCCACAACCTGGCAGGAGCACACATGCCAGGGTAAAGAGGTGGGATAAAGCTGACACAGACGGCCACAGGCATCAGAACCCTAATCCAGCTTGCAGATGGATCTGAGCACCCTCTGTACCACCCAGGTGGGCCCTGCTGATGCTCCAGAAGGGTGAGCAGACACCCGGAAAATTTTCCAGAGCTGGAAGAAGAATATGCACAGAGCTGGTTTGGATAAATTCCACAATGATCAGTGCAAACATCTTTTAGGAATCATTTCTGGATTTTTCAGGCAGATTTCCGTGGCTCCATGGCACTTTTCCTCCTCTGTGGTTCATTACAACCCCTTCAGCCTGTCCCAAGCTGCCTGTCAAGATGCTGGAGAGAGAAGTAATTTTAAAAGTACTGTCTTCAGACATTTTAAGGCAGTAATGGGCATGTGGGTGTCCTGGGAAACCAAGATTTAGGCAAGGCATAAGGAAACAAAGACGTCAGAGATACACAGGGTTTCTGGACACATTCCTTTCGTGCTGTGCAAAAGGGGCTTCTCAGGATTTTGACACATACCATATGCCATCTGTTCACTGGTCACAGGCAGGCTTCAGTCCTCTGGAACAACATCTGTCTGAGGGAAACAGAGAAATTCATCAGTGAGGCTTTTAGGGACATCACAACTCCCTCATCCCCAGTCCAGCAGCTCTTGTGCTACAGAGGAGAGAAATCCTGTGGGCAAAGGGCATCCAGACCAAGGAAAAGGGTGATGGGTCCTCAACCCACCATGGACCATGGCAGGGGTCCTACACAGGAACAGGCAGTGCTGAGGGATTTTGTAACAGGCTTTTTGGATCCCAAAATGTGTGATGCCAAGTGCAAACTGGATCGACACAGTCTCGAAGAGAGTGGATGGTTGGGAGAGAGGGGTTGGAATTTTTAGCAGCTGAAGGAACTGAGAGGGGATGAGATGTGCACCAGTGTGGAGATCCCCATGTGATCCAAACAGCACTGGGACACTGGCACAGGCAGTCATAGCAGTGATGGGTTGGGATGGCTGGACTCAACCTGGGGGGTTCAACAGGTACAGAAGAGCACACAGCTCCCAGCCTGGTCCCACAGGACGGGGATCCTGTGAAGTCCTGGAAATTAAAAATCCTAAAAAAAAAGGGCTATAACTGGAACTGATAGCATTGCTACCAGGAGTAGAACAGAGAGGAAAAATATATTGTGGAAGCTTTATTAGTAACCAAGCAGAGAAGCTGGTGGCCTGAATATGTCATGTTCAGGGAGAGCAGAGAGACTGTATGGGTAGAAACAGTGAGAGCTTGTTAAAAGGAGATTAAAAGGAGGAGGCAGCAGCAGCTCATCGAGTGCCACCTCTGCCACAGGCAGGGACACCTTCCACTAAACCATGTTGCTCCAAGCCCCATCCAGCCTGGCCTTGGACACTTCCAGGGATCCAGGGGCAGCCACAGCTTCTCTGAGCAACCTGTGCCAGGGCCTCCCCACCCTCACAGGGAAGAATTTCTTGCCAATATCCCATCTAACCCTGCCCTTTATCAGTGGGAAGGCATTCCCCCTTCTCCTGTCTCCCTCCATGCCTTGTCCCCAGTCCCTCTCCAGCTCTCCTGGAGCCCCTTTAGGCCCTGCAAGGGGCTCTCAGGTCTCCCTGGAGCCTTCTCTTCTCCAGGTGAACCCCCCCAGATCTCCCAGCCTGGCTCCAGAGCAGAGGGGCTCCAGCCCTGGGAGCATCTCCGCTGGACCTGTTCCAGCATCTCCACACCTTTCTTGTGCTGAGGGACTCCAGAGCTGAATGCAGCACTCATCTAAAGATGTCCACAATTAGTGATCTCATTTGTGCATTTGGTGAAGAAATAGCAATAAACGTGGGATTTCTGGAAACTCATAGATAAAGGGAAGTGGGAAGGGAAGATGTCACAACCCCAAGGCTGCCAGAGCTCAAGGAGCGTTTGGACAACACTCTCAGGCACATGGTGGGATTTTGGGGCTGTCCTGTGCAGGGCCAGGAGTTGGACTTAATGATCCTTGTGGGTCCTTTCCAGCTGAGGGTATTCCATGATTCTATGATTCTTTAAATGCAATAACCTGAGGAAGAGTCAATGTAGTTTTTAGAGGAATGTTGTGGCTCGGAAATCTGTTACAGCAGAGGCGGTGTGTGTGGACAACAGTGATCTGATCAGTGTAATGCCACCCAAAAAAGCTTTCAAGAAGATCTGTCACAGAGTTTTCAGAGGCGCTGACCTGTAACAGATCAACAGCTTGCAAAGCTGGGGAGCAAAGATAAGGTAAATTGGTGAAAATGCAGAGATTTCCTGGCGGATGCTCCAAGTATCTCTGCTGGGACTGGAATTTTCAGCATGTGATGGAGAAAAGGCCATAAATAGCACGGTAACAACATTTCTAGTGGAGAAAATAGTTCAGAACTGTCATAGCTAAAGGTGACTGGGAGGATTTCAGGCTGCAGAGCGAGTGGGTGATAACGTGGAAAATGAGATTCAATGTTGAAAAGGATGAAGTGAAGCACATCCCTCGCTGTTCATGGGGGGACTCTAAATTAGCTGATGCCAGTCAAGAGCTGAGGGTAACTGTAGGTAGTTCTCTGAAAACATCAGCTGAAGGTTCAGGAGTAATTAAAAATTTAAAAAGGCTCCAGAAATTGCAAGGAAAATGTCACTTGCCCCGTATAAAGAAGGGGATGCTCATGGGGGTGTGTGGCTTTGGTGCTTGGCTCAGAAAAGATGGAGAAGAACTGGAAAAGGTCACAGAGATGGAGAAAATGTGTGGTCAGAGGTGGGAATGGCATCCCTGCAAGAAAAGGCTGAATAGATCAGGACTGTGTTAGAAAAGAGATAAATGATGTTCCAGTCTCCTGCCGTGGGCTGGGACACCTTCCACTATCCCAGGTTGCTCCAAGCCTTGTTCAGCCTGGCCTGGAACACTTCCAGGGATGGGGCAACCACAGCTTCTCTGGGCAACCTGTGCCAGGGCCTGCCCACCCTCAGAGCCAGGAATTCCTTCCCAATATCCCGTGTAAACCTGCCCTCTGGCAGTGTTAAGACATTCCCCCTTGCCCTGTCCCTCCAGACCTTTGTCCAAAGTCCTCTCCAGCTCCCTTGGAGCCCCTTTAGGCACCAGAAGGGCACTGGGGATACAGACATTAATGCAATAGGAAGATGGAATGGTTAAAGGTGGTTATTCAGCATTTTCACAGCTGGTAGTCAGACTAGCTGGTCCCCAGAGGTCCCTTCCAGCCTTCACTGTTCTGTGATTCTGTGATCCTGGGGGCACCAGGCAAAGGAATGGCAAGTTCACCTCAGGATGTTGTGAAACCAGGAGTCTGAATGGACACAGTTAGGAATAGGACAAACTGATGGAGGACTGGAGTTGTTAAAATTCCCTGTGTGTCCAAAGCAAGGCTGACTGATGGGAACTCAAGACACAGGTACAAGTTCACCCTCAGCCATCCATTGCACAGGCATTGGTGGGCACAGAGTGAAACCTTCAAAGCCCTCAGGGTGAGAGGCATCCCCAGCTTGTCAGAACCATCTGGACATCTGTTCCTCAGGCCCATGCAAGAATTGGCAGAGAAAGTCTTTGTACTTTCCTTCTTTGGCTACAGATGAATACAAGATCTGGGAAAAGGAGCAGATTGTATCTTTCTCTCATTCCCTTTTTCCCTGTAGAAGATATGCAGCCATGCTGAGGAGAAGTGGATGCCTGGGACAAGCAGCTCAGCACTCTCCCACCTCTTTGACTGCTTTTTGCTGCCTCTCTCTGGCAGCATCCTGCTCTTCCCTCTCCCCTCCCAACAGAATCAGAATGGCCTCGAATCTGTGTTCCTGAACTCATCATTCCTTCTTGTGTAAGCTCTCAACATTCCCTAGAGGATGATTCTGAGGCCTACACTAAATCCTTTGGGAAAGGTTAGGAAACCCTACTTCAGGGACACATTTGTATTCTCTCTGCCTGTTTCTGCTGTGTATTTTCTGCTTGCCCATTGAAGCTGTGGCTGCCTCAGCCCTGGAAGTCTCCAAGGCAATATTGGACGGGGCTTGGAGCAACCTGGGATAGTGGAAGGT